AAAAGAAATTGTGCACAAGAAGACTTGGAGATGATGATTTTTGTGAAGTATTCATTAAGGTTCATTGATACTCTGATAAGAGAGATAACGCTACAGATAAGAAAGATAACTTTCTGCAGACATTTTGTCATGAAATTCAGTAATTTGTCATGCCAGAGTTTACAGATCTCTATCATAAGGACCATTTTATCGTTAACTCAAGCAAACCTAAACCATGGTTCAGAGGTTGATTTCTAGTTCTATTGCTAGTATATTTATAAATTATTTTCAATAGTTTACCTAAAACATTTATACTCAGTTCCTTTAAACGGTGTAAATTGATAAAAAATCTATCTCTAAACGTGTAAGTCTTTTAATTGTACAGAAATAACAGCCGCAGAATTGTTTATAAACATTTAATTAATATTTTATTTCATTAAAAAAGAATTTCAAGGGCGATAATGGAACGATAACTCTTGTTTATGGATGCATTTTATTTTACATGCACAGAAAACAATTTGATATTCTGATTTAAAAAGCATCGCTCCAGTATGTTTTCTAAAGGGAATTAGATAGGTATGAGAGTAAATATTATTTTTATATATACCTCATATTTCTAATTTAATTGTGAGATTAAAAATAATTGATCTTTCTAATGACCATATCAAATTTTCTTCAAATCATGATTTGACATATTCATTTCTGAAAAAGTAAGCAACGCTTCATACTTCAAAGTATTTTTTATTTGAATTGAATGTTATAGTTGTTGCTGAAAATCAATGTTTGGAATTTTTAAAAAAAAAGTCCTGAAATGTGGAGCAGAGGGATATTGTCCCTTAATATTATCCAAAACGACAGTAATCGAGAAAATGTGCAGATAAATGAAAAAAAAAATTAAAAAAAATAAATGAATAAATAAACAACGATTAGATATATTTTTAAACATCTCATATCATTTATTGTTTGTTTAAATAAGTATGCATATAAAAGAAAAATAAATGAAAGAGGGGATAACAATAAATTAGTGAAAATCTATTTTAAAACCTATAGTGGTTCAATTTACTCTTAGATATAATATTACTAATTATTTTAGAACGAGTATTCGAAACCGTGGGTGGCAGGTAAAAATTCATATTTTCAATTTGTACATTTGTTGAAATCAATATACTGATATATTTACATTTGGGACAAATATTCTTTCTTAGACGAACCCATTGAAGAGAAAATATGTTCAATAAACGACCTTCACATTTACAAAAGTTATTCCCATTTGCGGGGCCAATCCGGGGTCAACCGGCGTAAGGAATGTGAAATTCGTCTTTCTGAATCACAGAGCGAGGTGATATTTTGTCTACATATTTCTGTCAAGGTGCAACTTGTTATGGAATATTTCTTAATTAATAACGATGATAATAAGATGTAATGATAAACAATATGGATATCAAGATGTACAATAAATCTTTTTTCGATGTGAATAAAGTTTTTTATTATATGATTGAATAATTTCCCTCTCTCTGATTGGCTGATATCCAACTATGTTAAAAAAATATTACGTTGTATTGACCTGCACGTGACGTTCCGGGTGAATACAAGGATTTATTTCCTCTACATTGATCTATAAATAGATCGGGAAATTCCAAATTGATACAAATTGTTTGTTTTGGAAGGCTATTTAAACGACTATGACTTTTTTTTACTGTAAACGGAACATAAACGAATATATATTTTCGGGTGAGGCTGGTAAGAGGGGATTTAGGGACCCCCCTCCAACACTTTTACTGAACAATTTTTGCTTTTTGGCGGTCAGTTTTCCCTGATTTTACTCCTTCCTTTAAAAATCTATCCTTTAAAAAAGACTGACATTATATATCTTTTCATGGCAACTAAAATTGATAAAAAACATTTCAAATTGATACGACTGGTAAGGTTTATTAACATTTTAATTCAACTTCTCTCTTGTATTTGACTAGGACTTAATTAAATGCAAACAAGTAATGAGCTGTATAAGTTTATCAGTGAATCATATAATAAAACAATTATTGCTGTTTTTTCGGTCAATATGATGATTTAATCATCTTCGAAGTACAATATTCACCGAGCCCGAAGGGCTCAATGTGATATTGTACTCCTTAGATGGCTAATTCATTGTATTGACCTCAAAAACAGCAATAATTGTATAGAATACTATAATTAGCCTATTATGAAATTATGAAATAGATTATTCTCAGGAGCAATCAGAGTTCTTTCACTGTAAACAGATATTTCCTAAACTGGACTGTTGAACATGACTGTAAGCATTCAAATGTTCAAATGCAGATTTACTCCAATTTTATTCGTCTCAACTGTAAATATTAAAAATAAACAACCGTCGGGCTTCATAGGATTTGATCAAGTGACCAACTAAAAGTTCATTTCACTGAGAACTTTTTAACATTGTTGTTTATTTCTCAAAAGAATAATTCTTTAGTTCTCATTATTATTTTACTTCAGGAATGAAGCTTATTTAACCCATGTTATACGTAAAACATAACTTTATATGTCATGTCCTGTAACATACGTTAAAATAAGCTTCATTCCTTATAATTTAATTTCAGTGAGGTCAATAAGACAATTTTTCCTCTAAAATGGCTTCAAATTGAGCATATTTTAAACTTAACGTCAAAGGGAGTAATTCGCTATTGGCGTTGATCTCAATGTGACGTCTACTATAAGCAACTTATGTTATCCGATATAAAGTCAATCTTTTTTCTAAGCTCTTGTTGTGTTAAATTAAAATATTTTCATGATATGCACAAAAGAATACACATTATAACAATAAACAAATAAGCTAATTAAGAGACCCAAGAACATATCGCTCTCCAGACCCTTGTATTTTCTTATTAAAACTTTCAAATTGATCATATATTGTGGCCATGCCTTACGAAATCAGTGAAATTCTCGCAATATATATCGTCCATTGAATATTGTTTATATTTTCACAATTATTTTTTCATATGCAGTGTGAAAATAGCAATCAGAAATGCAAAGTACATATGTACCACATGAAAGAACATGTTCGCTTCAATGTGATATTTTTTCATTTCTAACATTCAAAATACACTGTATCATAATAAGTTCAAAACATTTTTTTCTTTTATATTGCAGTAACTTAAAAATTATATTATCGCAAATTTTTAGAATTTACTGACCAAAGAGAAATCATTAGAGACTACAGAAAAACCAATGAAAATTTTATTTACTGAAAATTTAATGTTTTTGTAGTTGCTATAGAATATTTTTTTAATAAATACACCACGTTTAAATATATATATATATATATATATATATATATATATATATATATATATATATATATATATATATATACGGTATATCCACTAAAAAACTGAACTGCCTCAATCAAAAATGCTGTTGCATTCTAAAAATCGATTGTTTTGAAATTAAAGTAAGTACTATCACAACGCATTTAATATTGGTTTGAAGATTTTTAGTGGAATTAGTAAATAGCATGACAATTATTTGTTTTTTGCTTTAAATTCACACAATTATGAAATTCGTCCTTAAATTCTAAAACCAATTCGTAAAACGATATGTTCACTATGACAGTACCAAAGGTCTTAGATATAAGCTGAAAATATTATATTTATATATGTATTCATTTGCATTTTTGCTTACAGGGCGCTACGTCTTTGTATGATAATAATGTGGCAGAGTGAAATTTGTAGATATTTTTATGAATTTATTATGTTTAATCAATTTATTATTTTTATTATTTAGAAAAATTATTTGAACCATGAATTTGCTGAATATGAATATATTTAAGCTACTGTAAGTTATTTTCTGAATAAGATGTATCACTCATGTGAATATTTTTAACTTTTATACACCGTACCTATATTTAGAGGGAATACCCTTTTCCTTGTTTTTCATTGGTCAGTGTGGTCAATTGTAAAGAATTTTGTCATGTGATACTTTTGGTGGGAGATTTTCTATTGTGTGATATATGTAGTTCCTGTGCTGCAGTCTTTGTTGTGTTAGTCAGGTTATCCAAATTTTATGCTGTAATTGGAATCTGTTTTCATAATCAGGTCAGTTAATTTGTATATTACATTTATAGTTTTTTTTATTAGATGCATAAATATCTGTTCTGTAATATTAGAAATATTTAGATACCTATTCTATTAAAATGGCTGATTGCATTGAAAACATGAGTATAAGTGTAAAATTCATTTTGTAAGGAAATACAGAATTTGTAAATTAACTATAGATATAGCACAGTGGATTTAATAACTGAATTAAGTTAGTGTATTTATTTTTACCTTTAGATAGATTTCCCATGAGCAGAGAATGTATTGATAAACTCATTGTAAGACGACCTTTACACCTCATGTGAGGTAAGCATTATTTCTAGAGTATTATGTTTGAAATATATGTGATTGTCATGATACATCTAGGATCACAATACTGATGAAACATACATGTAAATATTTTCTTTATGAAATCATGTGAAATAAGGTTTTACGTGATGGTATGCAGTGAAACTTAAATGAGTATATTATCAGTATAATTATAATACTTTGTTTATTATAATAATGAACAGTCATACATGTGTAGATATTTTGATAGACACAAATATTTTGAGTCTTGTGTACGAAGGGAAATAACTGGTTTTTTTTATTCTATTCTGAAACATAAGCGTAAGAGTTATCTTTCTTGCAATGTTGTTTATTAAGCTTTTACTATGTTACAGGGTCAATTCAATACATCTAACTGTTCCAAAATAAATGGTGTAAACTTCAACTGGAGTTGTTCATTTCATCCCCATTGAATTCGAACCACCCTAAGACCCCGGGTTACAATAACATATGTAATTGTTAGGAAGTCCAGCATCTATTTAATACTGAGTACTTAATGATTAAAATAGGGCATGATCCAGCATTTGCTGCAATTTATATGCATCTTTTTTTCTTCAAATTTTCAGATGTAGATTACAAAGCAATTTCTTCTAGCAAACTGCTGTGTTTTATGAAAACATTTATTTCTTAAACTGATAAATATTTTAGATGATATGTGTACGAATCTTTTATGATATCTTCTAGATCGAATACAGGGCAAAAAGTTGGCGTGTAATTTTTCAACAAAGTCAATTTTCAAAGTGTTGATATCGTAAGTAACAATAAAAATTACATAGACATTAATGAAATAATCTCAAGTACCAATATCACGGCTTTTGGACTGAATTTATAATTCATTGTTTAAAAACCACTTTTCTTGTATTTTGAAAATTTGAAGGTACAAGTACGTATTACAATTTATAAGGTTCTACAATATAGATACAAACACAGAAGCTCTTGAAAACAAACAAGTGCATAAAAGTATTCTGTAATTTTATTGGTTGAAACATAAATGCTGATATATTCCCTAGTTTTCAATATAACATAAAATGTGAACTCCAAAAATGTGTTACTAATAAAAATGAAAACAAGTGTATTTGTGTAGAATTCTGATGGGTTAATACTCAAGTATGACAAGCCGATTGCTTCAAAATTATTTTCTGTGCATACTCTAGCCTCTTCCTTTTCAGGGAAAAACTATGGAATTTAAGGCATAGATATTTAAGCATGACATAAAAAGTAAATTTGTAAAATCTAAAATACAGGCCAGTATGTGGAATGACCTCTAATTAGGGTTGTAACACGAAATCGTCAAAAATGAATGCCATGAAATGCATGCACTTGTGAGATTTGTCAGATTGTGTAACTTTCAATGTATCAATGAATTCTTTTAAATCTTAAATGTCGCTCGGTATTATGAGATGATGCTCATGTAAGTGGAAATTTTTAAAATCGCATCACATACAATAAAATAAGTTTGGTTTATGCCCGTATTTTATGTTATCGCAAAAGAATATTTCAAAATTAGTTTTATTATTTGATGTTTAAAAATCTTGCGTACTGTTACCATTAGTTTTAATAAATTTGCCATTACATCTATGAATTGATATGCCACTTGATTTAATATTATACACAATTGAAAGAAAAAAATGCTGATGCATTATTGTATTGTCACACTCGTACATGAATGTTTTTTGTTGACATCATTACACATCTATCCAAACAGCAGAAAAATGAAGCTGATTTTTTCCCGCTATTTTTATAAAAATAAATAAAGTCTAGACATTTTTTTACTTCTGCCACCAAAAATGTTAATTTGACTTATTTTACAATTAAAAACATAAATGATAATATATGTGCAACATTTAAGGTTTAAAATCTAGTTATCGTCTCTGAATCAAAAATCTAAATCTGTTAAGAAACAATTACAAATCAAATTGTTGCAAATTGATATGAACAATTTTACACCATGTCCTTGTCTAATAAACAGACTGTTGATTAATAATAATAGTCATCAGAATCACTGTCATTTCCGTGGTAATACATATACTCATCAACATCAGAATCATCTCTTCCATAATATTCATCAATAACAATTCCACGGGGATAGTAAGCATCCATTAGTGTTTGTATACTGATACCTGCTGGGGTGCTGCAAAAGTAACGTAAATCGTTCATTAATATGTTAATGTACGACGTTTATTTGTTCACACGTAGATGATGTCTTGTTAATATAATTGATATCCACATAATGCAATTGTAGTTTTCTCTTTAAAATACAAATCCTAGAATGCTGAATTTTAAATTGACCTGTAATCACGTTTTTGAAATGTTTCTGTTAGCTTTTTTCACAAAACATACCATGAAATTTAATATGATTTGAATACCATTGTATAAACATTGTATAAAAGTCAAATCGGATAAAGGTATACGCTTAGAGAGAAATGAAGTGACGTCACAATTAGTGTTCCTAGAGAGTTTTAACGAATTAATTTTCATTAATGATCATAAAACACATCAAATACATTTTTGCCATACCCACTACTAAGAAATCACTGTATTGATTTTGAATGCACTAACTATCCTATATGGTTTATTTACGACGTCCTATTTTAAGTCCTTGGCAACATACACATATAAAAGAAATATATCTGTTTTACACATCCTTAATTGTAATTTGTATACCTTTCTTTTGACTCTAACTGCATTTGTTCAAAGTCTTGTGTGTGTTCTCTTAAAGACAAATAGGTTTTGATTCGTCCGGGAACGGGCAGCAGCATGATTTTGGATTCTATCTCGGCTCCTTGTCCAGCCTCAGTTAAGTTCATTCGTATTGCATATCTGCATAATGATGAAAGCGATGTCTCCTCTTTTTCTTCTTGTTTCTTCAAAACATTTAAAAATAAATTTTTCTCTTGTTCGTAGCTAATTCTGTTGTACCGTTTGCCATTTATTAAAATTGTTGAATTTTCTTGATTTGAAAAGTCCACGTTCTTAAAGTCTCCATCATCTTTCCAGTTATATCCGCATTTTAGCAAGGTAGCTGCTGCCCCAAAAAATCCATTTCTCAGCAAAATGGACAATATCGATTTTCCATAGTAACTGCTAAAATAAAAGAATGTTAAACTCGCTTGGATTTTAGGTAAACTTTAGGAAATATATTCGTTTTCAGTAAAGTAAGAATTAACATATAGTACTATTTTTCGATGAATAAATCCAAGATAATGTTGAATTAATAAATATAATGATATACTTACTACGATGTTGATGTTTTTACAACAGGATCTATTTTAGCACCACCGCAAATCAACCAATTGAACAAGGAAAGGTCAACTTTTGCAACTGTCGCTGTTTCTGAATGTTCGATTTTCATGGAGTTGGTATCTTCTATCATTCTTTTTATGACATTTGATAATGGAGTTGTTCCACATTTATTTGATTTGTTGACACTGCATCCATGTTCAAGCAAAAGCGAAGCTATTTCATACCTTTCAGATTCTGTCTCTAAAAGTAGGAGTAAAATATACTTAATATATAAAGGATTTATGTGTCATGTTTATACGTTTTTTTGGTAAACTTTCCATCTTTCTAGCAATTCTTTTATGTTCCCATGATATAAGAAAATCAAAATTTTGTAATGGCATTACCTTTTCTCTGGACAATATTAATGAAAAAAAATTACTGTTGCCTATCATGCGATGCCTACTTGTATTTGAAAAGATTAAATGTTTTTCTTTTTTTACTATAAATTAAAAGACCAAATAGTATCATATAGTGTCTTATAGCGTCTGACCAAATTTGCATAAATAATGTTACTAAAATGGTTATTAGCTAATCCAAATTTTCTCTATTTTTCTTAAATTTTAGGATATATTAGTTATTTTTATATGCTTCCTATATTCAATTTTTTCTTATTTTCACATATGGTAAAGTGGTCACAGGAAAATACAAAACGATTTTAAAAAACAAAAAGTCGATCGTTTACTAAAAGAGAAAAAAACACTTTTTACAGATTTTTAGCTCAAATCTGTACTTAGATTGAAAACTTTTAGAAGCCAATATATATCTAGTTTGTTTGGATGAAGGAAAATCATATTTCTTTGATTTATTTTGAAAATTTAGTTTCTTATTAATTTACCATACATTTGAAAATTTCTCCAAATGTTTCATTGTGTGAAAAGTATAACTAAATTCATTGTTCTATAATAATTTTGAGAGGCGAAAAGAAAGTATTTTCATACACCACCATTTTACCAAAAATATAGTTCCTGCTAGATTTCTAACACTGTTTACCATTTGTATTTAAAGTTGTACAACTGTGATGAGGAAAGAAAAATATGGTCTTGTTAATTTCTAACACCTAAATATATAAGGCATATAAGCAAATATACTTTAAATATTTCATCTAGTCAGAAACCAGAGAAAAATCCCACCTAAATAGGAACAACGTTACTTTGTCATAAAAAGCAGTCAGATGACACACATACAATGGTTGATTAGTTTGTTTCATGAGTAAACTTTAAAACCTTATGACTCTGCCTCATTTTCAGAACGAATTCCCTCATCACCTTCCACGAGGAAGGATTACTATTAAAATGTTCACAAACCATTGGGATGTTTCAAGGAGAACTTGTGTTTAAAAAAATATCTAAGCAACATTGATTGGAATTTAAAGAAAAAAGGTAATACTTGAAATTTGATAAGAAAGGGAATTTTTAAAACGATTTCCCTCATCACCTACCACGAGGAAGGATGATTACTATTAAAATGTTCACAGACCATTGGGATGTTTCAAGGAGAACTTGTGTTTAAAAAAATATCTAAGCAACATTGATTGGAATTTAAAGAAAAAAGGTAATACTTGAAATTTGATAAGAAAGGGAATGTAAATATATTTTAATGTATTCCTGATTAATACTTCCATACTTACTCAAATCGCACGCTAAATGCAAGCATGTATTTTCATCTTTATCACACGACTGAATATTTACTCCTTTTTCTATAAGAAATTTTACAATATCTGAATGCCCTGACTTAATAGCAAAATGTATTGGCGGTTTGCCATCTCTGTACTGATTTGGATCAGCTCCGTTTTGTATCAAAGACAGTATGAAAATTTTCCAGTCAGCATTTAAACCGTAATAATCAATATTTCGCATGCACTGGTTTAATGCAAAGTCAATGTTTGGATCCGCTCCTTTTGATAATAAACAACAACCTAGATGAGCACGGTCAGTCGAACCTGAAATAAATTTAATTGAAAATTAGTTATTCCGATATCCAAATATTTATAAAGCCTTGTCATAGCGGTCCCAAACAGATATAATACATCTATGATCTTTAATTCAGGAAATTGTAAGATGCTTTTCTATTGATCTTATAGGTAAAAATTCATCTTGAAAACGACACGATTTAAACCATTGCATCCTCAACTTTCCATCTTTGCGAAATAATACAACACTTTCACCAGTACATGTATATGGTATTTAAACGCATGCCCTTAGTATGATCAATATTTATACCAGGATAGCCTATTGACAAATAAATTAATGTTCACAGGGTTCAGAAATCTTATGTGAAATGAGATCATTATCATAACTTTGTTTGCAAATTCGAATTGTGAATTTTGAATTTTATTATACCCCCCTTGAAAAGTGGGAGGGTATATAGTAATCGGGATGTCTGTCTGTCTGTCCGTCCGTCTGTTACGCTTTGGGGTACCCATCTCTTACCCGCTACTCCTTTCATAATCTTTCAGAATCTTTATTACATACATGTACTGCCATTGTGCACCTCCTATTTTACTTTTTGATCCGACAAATATTTTGGGTTTCCCATAACAATACATGAACACTGCCGTTATATTCATATGGGAGGCCCGGGGGGTATCTTTTAGTGAGCTCATTGCTCACTGCAAATCTAGTTCTAATTAAATCAGATATGTTTCAATACATTTTTCAAGCGATTGTGTTTAAACTACTCATCAGTCTTAATAATGCTTGAGCGAGCGGTCGACATTGGATGCTCAAGTCTCTTAAGCACCTTAACCTACTTCTGTGTTTTCTGCCCTGTTCAATTTATATTAATTGTTAAAAATATTAATTACTGTTCCATATCTTAACGCTTGTCACTTATCTACACATTCCTAAAGAACAGGAAAGATTTAACAAAATTTATACCAAAATAGTCCATTTTTTAAAATAGTAATATTGTTGAAAAGTGACTAAGGATGGATTGCAGAAAAAAAGGTTAAGAAAAAAAATAGCTCGAGGCAAGTGAGGATACAAGAAAGACTGCATGTGTGCGTTTATAAATCTCAAATTGAATTAAAAAATCCAAAAATGATAATAATGAAAATTGCTTATTTTCTAAATTAAAAAATATAACTAAACATATAAAATTTTAACCACTTCTGAACTACATATATAACCATTACTTAAGAATAGGAATGTGTTTAAGTAATGTTTTCTTGTATAAAGGAAGTTTAATTTGAGATGGCCGTATCATTTCGTGAAGAAGAAAAGCTAAACAAAAACTTCACACAAGGCGGAAAGACACGTCAGTAGGGGGTGCTCATTCTCCAAGGCACCTGATCCAACCTCAGATTTTTTGGAGGTCCGTTCCCGATATTTTTTGTTTAATGGACTTTGGACGTGAATGCTGTTCGTTATGACCATATATCTTGTCTATATGAAGATGACTTCATTTGAAAAGGCTCACATTTGTCTTATTCTGTGCTACTATGAGGATAACCTTTTTGATATCATCGATGGCAGAAGTCTTAAAACAATGATAGGTCTGTAATTTAACAAGAGGCCCATGGGCCTTATAGGTCACCTGAGCATCAGGCAAAAACTTTGCAGTGATTGAATTTGGTTCATATTTTAAGCCAGATGTTATGGCATTCACAATTTTATATTTTATAATTGTTATATACTTAACAATTGCTTAGTGTGATTACTTAACACCCATAGGCAAGGTAGGGGAACAAAAATTGCATATCAACTAATTAGTAATATTCAGCAATAATCAGTAGTGCCCGTACCACACAATTGAACCCCTGACCCTAGGTCCACAGATTGCACAATTTTTGAAAAGGCACCCTTTCTTATCAAAAATATTTGATTAATACAGACGAGCAGATTTCAAACAATTAAGGGGAAGAAGGACGTTTCGCTGAAAAAATACCTGTCCTTCAATTTTTTTTTCATATTTTGTATATCTCTAATTTAGTATGTCCCACATACCTTAAAGCAGATATATCAATAGGTTTCTAGACTTATTTTTGAGATATTGAGTGACAAATATTATACCCCACAGTGTCTAAGTGGAGTTTTGATTCTCAGTGTTTCTGGGCTGATTAATCGGTCCATAGTGGAATTTTTTTCAGCATAGATCAAAAATATGTCGGCGAACATGTGTCTTTTAAAATATTTTAGAGTATGAATAGGGTTAAAAATTCTAAAAAGCAATATTCTTTTTTCACACCGCATCTGGAGACAGAAAATTACGTACTTTTTAAGACAACTTAAACAACAAAAAAATTAATTTGCAAAAAATCCTATCATTCAATATTTGATAATTTATGTTGAAATGCAAGATCGTCATGTTATTGATTAGCTGTAAAAATATCGATTGGTGAAGCTGAGCTCAATATTGCACAGGGCATAGTTAAACAAGGCATGAGCTTGAGAAAAACGTGTCATGTTTACATTTCTCGAGTACGGGAAAACCCAACTATGACGTCACGCATTTGCGAAATAAGCGAAATAAGACATACCTACAAAATATTTCCGTCAACAACTATGTAAATATATATCTTGTGTTCCCTAATTCACAAAATATCCCATCAAGTACTGATCATGGCCCGTTTTTATGATATTATACTACCCGTGTTTTACCGGTAGAATCTTACTGTACTAAGAGATCCACTATGACGTCAACGCCTCGTTGGACGCGCAGTGTAGGGAAACAGAACAGTGGATCAATCTATTCCGTAATTTGATATTATTTTCAAGAAAGTTTTAATCTTTTTTAGATATTTTATACAAGATGGTGAAATCAAACAAAATAGTCAAAAAATTATACAAGTACTGTGGTTTCAATCTTATTTTATTATACCTCTACTGATTTTTCACTATATAAAAGTAAATCGATATATTTTGCTGATTTCCTGAAAATCACCGTGAATAAACCGATTCCCTGCAAAACAGACTGATTCCCTGCAAAAAAAGTACGTTTTTTTTATGAACTGATACACACCTATTCGGAACACTTGACATTTTCTTTCACCTTACGACAAACTTAAAAATGTTCCGAATAAACTCATGAATATTCATTAGTGAATCGAAATGCATCGCGAGTCAACTGGTCCCATATCAATCAAAAGAACCAGTTTACTGGAAGCGAACGACAACAGAAATGGCGTGCTCAGAGGATTTGAGTAATGTTACTTTCGATTTCATTTAGTAAAAACTCGGACAATGAACTGATTTATTGATAAAATGGAATTCCTTTCATGACCGTATTCTGTTTTGTCGTATTTTTTATCTATTCCTGTTGGAATTAAACATTGTTACTGAATACGGTATTGAATATAATTTTTTTAAATGTCTTGTTGGTATCGGTATAATAAAAAAGTTAAAGTATATCATTTCGGGAGTCAGCAAGATTCCAGTTCCCCTCGAGCAAGCCTATTTCCCTCGGCGCAAGCGCCTCGGGAAATAGACTTGCTCTTGGGGAACTGGAATCTTGCTGACTCCCTCAACGATATACTTTAACTGTATATTGACATATTTTATCAGGGATTATGACGTAATTAAACTGAGTCATGTGACCATACATCCTTCGTCCCCTTAATTTATTTTCAGTATATAGGTAGAGCCCTCTTCTATGGTACCTCTGAACATGGGGCCTTCTGGAAGAAGGGATTTTGCTCATCATAACTATATAAGTAGTTCATCTGCTTAATACCCAGGAGCAGAGAAGTAAATTTTCAAAGAATTCATGTATTTTCCCTATATAATCAATAGAACCCCGCCCTAACACCAGAACCCCTGACCCAGGGGCCATAAAATTCACAATTTTGGAAGACGCTCTCTTGTTTATTATAAGTATGTACTTAATTAGTTTATTTAATATCCAAGAGCAGAGATGAAGATTTTCAAAGAATTCATGTATTTTTACTATATAATCAATAGAAAGCCTCACCCTAACAGCAGAACCCCTGACCCTGGGGCCATAAAATTCACAATTTTGGTAGAGGCACTCTTGCTCAACATAGCTATGTACTTAGTTAATTTATTTATTACCCTGGAGCAGAGAAGAAGATTTTCAAAGAATTCATGTATTTTCACTATATAATCAATTGAGCCCCGCCCTAACATCATAACCCCTGATCCTGCGGCCATCAAATTACAATTTTGGAAGAGGCACTCTTGATTATCATAACTTTGTACTTCATTAGTTTATTTATGACCTTGGTGCAGAGATGAAGATTTTCAAAGAATTCATGTATTTTTACTATATAATCAATAGAAAGCCTCACCCTAACAGCAGAACCCCTGACCCTGGGGCCATAAAATTCACAATTTTGGTAGAGGCACTCTTGCTCATCATAGCTATGTACTTAGTTAATTTATTTATTACCCTGGAGCAGAGAAGAAGATTTTCAAAGAATTCATGTATTTTCACTATATAATCAATTGAGCCCCGCCCTAACACCAGAACCCCTGATGGCCATCAAATCACAATTTTGGAAGAGGCACTCTTGATTATCATAACTTTATACTTCATTAGTTTATTTATGACCTTGGTGCAGAGATGAAGATTTTCAAAGAATTCATGTATTTTTACTATATAATCAATCACCCTAACACCAGAACCCCTGACCCTGGGGCCATAAAATTTCACAATTTTGGTAGAGACACTCTTGCTCATCATGTACTATGTATTTAGTTACTTTATTTATTACCCAGGAGGAGAGAAGATTTTCAAAGAAATATAGCATTTACACTATATATACTCGTTTTAGCCCCGCCCTAGCACTAGAACCCCTAACCCCAGGGCCATGATTTTCACAATTTTGGTAGAAGACTCAATGCTTATTACAATCTTGCAAACAGTTTGACTGCTTGATGTACAGGAGTAAAGAAGAAGATTTTTAAAGATTGCAATAATTTTAGTGGTTTTGGCCCCACTCCTAAGGCCCCCGGGGGGCAGGGATCATGAAATTCACAATATTTATTCCCCTTTACCCATAGATTCTTTGTGCTAAATTTGGTTGAAATTGGTTCAGTGGTCGCAGAGAAGAAGCTGAAAATGTTCAAATGTTAACGCACAACGCACGACGACGGACGAAAACGGATAGCAATAGGTCACCTGAGTTTACTCAGGTGACCTAAAACAGAATTATTGCTATTGATTTACTAAATTGACCCTGTAAATTCAAGAGTTAAGCTTAAGAGGTTTTATTTAAAATAAAAAGTTTCTTCCCCCACTACCAGATAAACTCTGATATTTCCTTAACGTTGACATCACGATTATCAGTTACAGAAAAATCGTTAATTTGAACAAACTTAACATCAACTTGTTATTGCCATTGACCACAGTTATGCATTGTCCAAAATCATTTGAACTTCTGTCAGAAGTTCTATCTTTTTTAATATAAAAGGTGAAGAGAACGAGCAACGACTGATCTATAGAAAAATTAACAAAATACAAATTTGTTAAAAAGCACCTGCACCTGGAAACTAAAGAGGTGGAATCAGTTATCTGAGAGGAGTAAAATTCCCCTACTGAGCAACAGATGTAGTGGACTATTTGCACACTGTACATAAATGAAGAAAGCTCACGATGGAAAAGCTTGATTCGTCTCGTTTGTCATACAATTTAGTTGTTAGTTGGCCATAAACGTATTTTTGTTGTAACCAAATCTGAAACATTTCAGTATGTTTTATTTTGAATTTATCGAGTTCAGATATAAAGTAATTATATTAATTGTTAAAACATAAAAACCGCCTATATATCTGAATGTCGAATTGATACCTCGACTAGTGTTTTTACTTTGCTAATGCATAGTAATACGAGGTGAGTTTTATGCAAGAATGATTGATTGTATGTTGTTTTACGTCCCTCTCGAGAATTTTTCACTCATATGGAGACGCCACCACTTGACATAGGAGAGCTGTAAATTTTTCCTATGCTTGGCACTTAGGGCCATTGAGCAGTGAGAGATCTTTTTCGTGCCAGCACTTACTGCGACACTGGATCTCGGTTTATACGGTCTCATACGAAGCACCGGTCTCCAGTTCCCAAAGTATATACTCTTCAAAAAAAAAAAAGAAACGCATAGTAGAGTTTTATTGACACATTGAACATAAAGATTATTTAGGAAAATGATGCATTGATAAAACAGAAATGTGGTAAGCAACAGGAATACTATCTAAATGTCATAATTACTCAACAATTTTAAAATTATAGTCGGTTAAAGACCATTAAAGATCAATATCTGATATGCCCCCCGCAGACACAAATGACAGCCACAAACGGCATCAAATGGAAGCAAATGTGTGTAATAAAAACTGTACAGGAATACTCTCCCACATCAAATGTAGGACATTGGTCAGCTGTTGCAGAATCTGGGGATGCGATTGTCTTTGGCAAATCATGTCAATCCATTTTGTCCAATGCTGCTTAATATGGATTGAATCTAGCAATTAAGATGATTGTGGCTGAAACAGGCTGTTGTTTCTTTGCAAGAATAGGTGTGTCAAACGAGCCATATATGGCTGTGTATTGTGAGATTGCAATACGACTTTGGATGCTGCAAAATTAAATGGGTATGTGTAGGTAGAACATGGTAAGAGTACCTTTTCCCATCAAAGTCCTTTGAATTCGAATCAAATTAATCTTATTTTCATATAATACCGTTTTCCATATCATTACACTACCATCACCAACTTTTTTAACGTCCTGGAGGCAGTTATCTGTCTAACATTCATTACAAAGCATTAGCACTCTTAAACTTATAAGAGGCTTTCAGATAAACATTCTGGACTGGTAGGATAACCAAAATGTTCAGCAGTGCTGCTGTGGTCATACTCTATTGATCTGAGATCTTTGAAGTCGACATTTGAGGTGTTTTGGGGTCGGAACAATGGCATGATTAATCCTCTTGCAATAATTCGTAGTCAACTGAAAACGGTCTTGTTAGATGATCTGTGCAGTTCAGGGATAGCTAATGCTTGAGATGACGTCCTTGCATTACATTCGTGCAATTTACGTAATCATCGAAAGTGATGCTGTGCTGCTGATGTCACACGTAGTCTACCATATTTTTTTGCGAACATTTGGTGTTCGATGTTAATGGTTTATGTTTTATAGGTTATATATGGCGCTGTGCGTAAAATTAAAACCTCTTGCAATTGTAGATTGCGGTACCCCTGCTTCCAGTCGCCCATTTCTCTTTTTGTGCCACGCATCATTCAGATGCAGCATTTTTAGGAAGCGTCATTTTTCAGATAAAACCAGAATCAAAATATCTATAACCCCGATTTTGATAGCCTATTTGTACCTGAAGGAATTGCATAGGAATTCAACAAATGAAAATTGAGATCAAAATTTTGGGGGAAATTTTGCAAAATCAGATCTTTTTGTCTGTGAGACTTGTAGAATAACTGTAAAGTTAACAATTGCATTAAAAAATCATGCATTTTACTCGAATACATCGTATTCATACAAAAATAAAAGGTAGGACAAAACTATCATACATTTTTCAGGGCATTGTTCCTACTATGCGTTTCTTTTTTTGAAGAGTATATATTTCTGGACAAGAAATTAAAATTGGCCGGAGATAGGGGAGACGATGACTATTTCTGCAAAGTATCAAATCGTACTGCAGCATGTCATCAACATACATGTTATAATCATACACGCATTTTTAAATTTTAAACCACTTTTTATGTGCATGAAGCGTGATGCATTTCATGGTTGAGCAATTTTAGAAACCGATTCAAGTGATCAATATTCAAGATATTGATCCGTTTTAATATTCGTCCATGTATTTCAAATAATGTTAATCATGCTTTTCGTCTTATTATTATTCAATTCTACAAATAGCATTACTCCAAATAATAATGAATATCTTTCAGTATTATTCCTTTCAATAAATTAACATATACACTATTTCTTTATACGATTTTCAATATTGTACAAAAATAAGATCTCATTTTCATTATCGTACAATCAATTTACCTCTTGTTTCACAGACTATACTTAATGGAGTATGTCCATTTTTGTCTACAGCATTTATATCTGCACCATAATCAAGAAGTTGCTGGATAATACTCTCTGTGTTGCATTTTCGGTCAACGGAACAAAGAGCTTTGATAGCAAGATGAAGAGCAGTCTTTCCGGTATCATCTCTGTCATTTACATTTGCCCCTTTCTTCAATATTCTGTGTGCCACATTCTCTATATCATCTTTAGAATTTTAATTTTAATTAATAATCAAAATATGGATAGAAACATTGCTTTTGTTATAAATTGTGCTTTATTAAAGATTATGTTTATCCAAAAATACGAAATCTTCTTGTATCACCTTATAACCTCAAGATCTGTATTTTGGAGTGCAAAAAATACACTTCATTACATTGTCGCAAGCCTTGGTTATATGTTACTAATTTTCTGCAAATCCTTCTTAAATTCTTTTGTAGTCGCTATTGAGTCATTGAATATTTATCAGGTGACGCCAGATTGAGATTTAAAAGGAATTCATTCTCTGGCACACATGGTTACTTTTATATTGCGGACCCATTACAATATGAAATATTTGCAATACGCAGAAGATATAGTGATAAAACCTATAGGTCCTAAATACCAGAGACGAGTTATAAGTAATTTAAAACACGAATATAAAATATTTATTTAAAACACAGGGTTCCGAATATAGATGTTGTGCGAAAGGTGTCACTCATTAACAGAAAAAAAATTCGATTCGAGTTCAAGCAAGGGTAGGGCTGATCTTTACATCCAAATACATCATAAACATATTATTTTCCTTGGACAAAAACTTTCTGACTTGAAGCATCAAGTTTCTTGTTCCATTTTCGTTAAAATTGTGAGAACGCCAGAATTTTGTACTAGCGAATATTGGTTTTAAGAGGAATAGAATCTGTGGCTTGTGACGATAACTTCATTCTAACATTCTGATTCCAATATGTAGGCAGAGGCCTACATATATATACTATCATAATCAAAAGAATATTAGAGTACATCCTTTGAAGTATCTTTTTGTAAGTAAATAAATTACAAGCTTTTTTGCCATGGACATCTTTGTTAAATAAGAAATGACTCTATGTATTTGTCATAATACTAAGAAGAATACGTAAATATACAGACTTTGCCAATTACATGAAGATAACAAAAACAATGAATTTATATCTTATTAAGTATATAAATTATCAAAACGTCAAAAAGATTTTTAAAAATTTAATGCATGTTTAAATACATATTTTATAAACAAATTAATGTCAATATTTTTTATGGGTTTAGATTTGACAAAAAATATTTTAATCAGGATTTAATAATATATTCTATTTCATAATAGTAATTATATAATTTTTTTCTAAGTAATTTTTTTTCGAATTATAAGCCTTTTTTACATTTACCTTGGTTGATTTTATTGAAGCTGCGAAAACATCTGAAGAAAATGTGCAAAGCGGTAGGTCCATCTTCAATTTCATTTACTTTTGCGTGGTAGTCCAAGAGGAGATGGATTAGTTTTACACTTGCTGAACGAATCGCTGCTACTAGAGGGTTACACAGCTTGAGATGTAGATTTGGAAGAGCTCCCTTTTTCAGCAGGTATTCAATGACATCGATACACTTAAGTTCAGACAAAGTTCCTCTTTTATCAACCAAAATAAAAAGTGGACTCTCACCCCTGATGTTTAATTCGTTTATTACTGCCTTTCTTTCAACTAGATATACGATAATGTCATATAAGAATTCACCAGGGGCTGAAATTAATATTTATAGTCAAAATTAAGCAAATTGTTGATAATCAATGGCTTGTTGTACATTCTAAAAACTTATATATACTAATTACATCAATACAGAATACTCTTGCTTAATGAAGAATGTGTTTAGTGCTTTTATTGTCAAACTATACGTTAAAATTAAAAAAAAATGTCTATCTTATGGTACTAGAAAGAAATAAAACTTTACCTCCCATTGAGCAGAGGTGAAGACATGTATTTTGTTTGTCATCTTTCTCGGAAATGTTGGCCCCCTTTTGTACAAGGATTTTCATCGTGCTTAACCATCCTTCTGATGAGACAATGTGTATAGCCGACGATCCTGTGTTGTCCCGTTTTCTTACTGTCGATCCGTCACAAGCAAGAAGTGACACTATCTCGTCTCTCAGATCCACCAGTTTATCCGGAGCGGCGTCGAAGTCGTAAAGTCCATGTTTCAAAAACAACACTAGTGGTGTGTTCCCATCCCTGTCCAAGTCGTCCATTTTTCCACCGTGTTTTTTATATATCCGTAAGAAATTCAGACATTCTTCAGAAGATACATTCGCTCTCTCTAATTAATGTAATAACAGAGAATTTTACAGCTGCAAGGAGATGGGCGAACATGACGAGAGATAAGCCAATAGCGCAACAACATGAGGGCGAAAAATTAAATCTCAATTATATTAAAATTTTCCTTAATATTTCATCTAACATTAAAGAGTACTTTATGTAAAATCTCTACAACTTGCACAAATCTCATGAAGATTGAAGTTATTTGCCTATGAAATATTATACACACACGAAAGAGGACAAAATGAGTAAATTTTTTCACACTATAACATTAGTTTTCGATATGAGTAGGTCTTCTCTCCATTTTTTTGAAAGTTAATCCTCGAAGTTTGCATACAAACATACAAATTTTGGTTTCCAAAATTATGAAGCAAAGACCCACTATACCTTAAAAATATAATTTTATGACATAACTCGTATCTTTTCGAGAAATACTTTAAGTCCATTAAGTCAATGGTCATACCACAAACATGATTTAAAATGCCATTCTTCCTCAGGACTTGTGTAGGGTAATGGTTAGCGTGCTAGTCTGAATAGAGAATGCAACTGATGATTTTACTGCCAGGGTTCAAACCCAATGGATACAACATTATTTTTTTTTATATAAAAGAATAAATTTTAACGAAAATTTTCCTTACAACTTTTTTTAATTATGATTTCATAAAAATCAATAATGAGAACTTTACTCTAAATACTAAATTCACAATTTGAATATGATTTTTATATATATATCTGAAGCTATTTGGCTTTCTGTACGCTAAGTTCGCCCATCTCCTTTCATATATTTTCACATTTTTTTCTGATAAAGGGGGGGGGGGGGGGTAATAGGATAAATAGTATCAAAATATAAGCAATCAATTTCATATATATTTCTTAAGCAATTGAATAATGAATGTACTTTAGTATGTCATTTGAAACCTTTTCGGCTATTCATTTTAAGCTTTTGATTACAATACATCGCTAAACTAATCTATAATAATTGTGCATTCATATCTTTTTGATATTAATGATTGAAAGGCATCGTCATTGAAAATGTACATCGTACATTGTAAGCCTTCAATTGCAGAAAACTGAACGTGAGCACTTTCGAAATTAAGATACTCACAAATACATCCCTACTAATGTGTTCGGAACCTTTTATTTTTCGGTGTTCTGCAAATTATATAACCCGATGAGTTCAGAGTAGATCTGATAGTGGCTCTGGCGAGAGTTAGCAAGACTTCAGCGAGATAGGGTAAATTATTCACGGAGATGTGGCTAGGAAGTGACAAACACGTGGAGACATGGTAAACAGAAAAGTTATGTTGCGTTTTAGATTTCACCACCCTATATTAAATTCTGTAGAAATATACTTCAATCAATCTTTCTTGAATTCATTCAAATTTAATTATAAGTATTCCCTATGACACAATTTTCTGCTGTCATCAATTAAAATTTCTTTTTGGACAAATATTGCATGGGAAGCGAGACTATATTTTTGGGCGTCAGATTAGCAAATGAGGCACCAATGTGACTTTAAGTGACAAATCAGATGAATGAGAATTGCATTATGGGTTACTATACGAATACCACAGGAATTTTACGCTTGATAAATTCCTTTATTGTTCTATCAATGTTCTGTGACGCACAAAACACATTACTAGGGGTGATTTGATTACGAGAAGGTGCTCGTTTTCCTTTCCAGTGAAGTGCTGGTGTTCTGAACTTGACACTAACTACGTATACATTTTATTAAACATATTTTTCGTGTTGCTCGTGGTAAGATCTTCCGTGCGCATTAATCTCCAGGTGTCAGAGCTACTCTGAACTCATCGGGTTTTAAAATTTGAAGAACACCGAAAAATAAAAGATTCGAACACATTAGTAGGGGTGATTTGATTACGAGAAGGTGCTCGTTTTCCTTTTCAATGTAGTGCTGGTGTTCTGAACTTGACACTAACTACGTATACATTTTATTAAACATATTTTTCGAGTTGCTCGTGGTAAGATCCTACGTGCGCATTAATAGCAATAGCCATATAAGGCAAACAAAGGTTTGTCAATGTAGATGATATTACACATTTTTATTACCAGCGTATCGATCGCTAGTGAGCTGTATTTTTTGCAGTAAACTATGATAAGACGCATTAATTGTTATTTACCCCCCCCCCCTTTAAGCCACCCATTTCTGTTGAAAATCATAAAAGTCTTTCAGAAAGGTGTGGAAACATTTTTCACAGGACATGTTTTTAGAAGAAACAGACTTTAGCAATTTCCTGTTTACTGCCAATTTTATTTATAAAACTGGTTCTACCCTCTAACCTTTGAATAGGTAAACCTAAACCACGTGTCTTGAATTTAAATCACAATAACATTAGTAGGGGTGAAATAGGTGGAAACATTTAAATCGCATGGAAGCGGAATGTAAACATTAGCACATGATTTTTCGGTTTATTCCCACTTAGCCAAAATTCTGAAATTCTTATTCCCACTTAGCTAAAATTGTTATTTTCACACCTGAGTGGTCACCTGTGTATAGTCTGTTTTAGATTGATTACCTGTAATTTACCTGTAATTTTCACCCGAGATTTATATATTTACCTATATACTTATATACATGTATATAGGTATTAACAAAAACTTAAATAAATAAATAAATGAATAAATAAATAAATAAATAAATTAATTAAGAAAAAAGGAAATTAATTATACATTAATTAAAAAATTAGAAATATAGAAATATTTAGGAAATAGTTTAATTTAGTAATTCATCTTTCAAAGCTTATATTTTGTATAAAGTTTTTACAGAAAAAACTGTTTTCTTTACCATAAATCTATATTGAGAAGAGATAAAGAGATTGTTTTGTTTCATGGCGCACAAATAATAGGGATGGGTTGTGTCTATAGATGCCTGCAGACCATAATAAAGAGGTGACACAAGCACAACTATACCTATTTATGTGGACCAGATTTGCACTGACAATAGTGAATTCCAGGATTTCTTTCAAAACACCCCTAACAAAAAACTAGATCAAAAGAAGAATGTATAATATTTTAAACCCTGAAAATATTTACGCAAAAATCTTCAAATTTTTAAGTTTGGAGTCGATATATAATATATACCTAAGTATCTTCCAGTCAGAATGCCAGACACAATGTAAGCATATCGAACGGTGGAATGTCACGTGAAAAATGTGATTATCATATCATTCGGGTGAAAATGTGTTGACACTCGGGGGACCAATCGCAACTTCTCGGGCCTTTCCTACTAGCGGAAAAACAACCTCGAATGTATTACGTAGACGCCATGACATTCCCCTTTTTATTAACAAACTGTGAAATACATGTTTGAATACCTCTTATCTGTGGATTATACAGTTTAACTTAATTAAATGTATAGATAGTACCTAAAATATACTATAGAAGGGACTTTTAACTCCGTCTATTCTGTTTTTGAATAAACAGGAAATATATAAATTTTAACATCCGGTGATGTCAATATATTCGATGTTATTTTTCCGACCTCTGACGGAAAGACTCGAGATGATGCGATTGACTCGGGGACCTATTAATTAAGTAGCTAACTCGATCGTAGTTTGGAGACTGTAAAAAAAATAAATATGAACCGCATATTGCCGCAACATTTTCCTCTGAATGTGTATGAGTTTAAGCCAAAATATTTACAAATTCTTTGTCCGAAATAACACTACATATAGTAAAAATACTTAATTTCTAAATAAATTGAGAACTATTGGTTCATCAATAGGCGTGTAAAAAATCACGGGCGGGGCTTGACAAGAGAATGTAAATTAGACGAATGGACAAGTTACTCGATGTAAACAATGTCGTTAAAATCAGATATGTATATAAATAACAATAGAAATGTGAAAGAACTGCTAGACCCCCGTCTCAAAAGCCAGTTTTGCTCGACATTATGATACTCAATAAATATATGATATAGTGTATCAAACCCTGCTCTCAAGACATTCTAAAAACTCTGATTAAGAAACTTCGGGAATTTATTTTTCCTAAAGCACCGGGACCCAACTCTCATAGCTTAAGTGCACTTACTCTATTATAATATAAACCCTAAAGATCAGTCTTGTTTTGAAATTATTCTTTAAAGTACCCGTAGAAAATCAATAGAAAAGAAAAAAAATGTTTAAGTATAATGAGATACCAATTTGAAATATGATCTGAATCTATAATTTACCTTCATAATGGTACTGAAGTGACCAACAAAGATGTAAAACTCCCTTTTGGTCCTTTTTGACTGTTAAATCTGCACCTTTCTCCACCAAAATGGTCATTAAATCAAAATGTTTTTTCTGCGATGCCAAGACAAGCAAGGAATTAAGATGAGACTTTTCGCAAATTTGTCCTGCAAGCAGCGCCTCTTTCATAAAAATTGACAACCATTTGTAATCGATGCGCTTGTAGTAAATATTGTCTTGGTACTCTTCCTCTGCTCTTTGGAAGGCTGTCTTCCCAGATGAATCCATAATTTTCAACTCAGGATTCTTCTTCATTAAAAGCGTAAGAATGGTATATCTAGCATCTCTATCTACAAAGAAAAAAAATTATTGAATTTGTTTTATGCTTAATTAAATCTGCCCTCCTATTTCCACGTTCTTAATAGGTTACAGTTTTCAATATTCATCAGATACCATGATGCTTTTTACTGTTTTCTATGCCATATTACTCTGAACCACATGAAAAATAGCCCCATGGACCACAACGCTCACCTGAGTAACTTCGGCCCTGCTGTTCTTCAACCGATTGTTATACATGTACACACTGAGGCCCAACCTTGGCCAAGGGGGTCATGATTTGAACTATTTACTACCTACCCCAGGGTGCTTTCACAGCAGTTTCAAACATTCTAACCCAGTGGTTTTGAGTAGTAGAAAATTTCAAAGTCAAAATATGATCCCATATTGTGGTCCACTATTTCCCCTAAAGTCATTTTTGAACAAAAAAAGAGAAGAATATAACCTACCCCGGAATGTTTCAAATAAATTTCAGCTTTTCTTGTCTAGTGGTTATTGAGAAAAAGATTTTTAAAGATTTGTTTCTATATATTTCATTGTAAATTTTTGATTATCAATGGTGGCCCCACCAAGCCCTACGTGGACCATAATTTGAACAATATAGAATCTTCCCTATCCTAAGATGCTTACACATAAGTTTCAGGTGTTTATGTCCCAGTTTTTAAAAGAAGATTTTAAAAGATTTTTCCTATTACAAATGTAAAACTTCCATGTCCTTGTTGTGCCCCCGCCCTCTTACCCCGGGAACCAGTATTTGTACAAAAAAATACCCTAAAGGCTTGGAAGATTCCACACAAGGTTCAGAATTTCTGGCCTAATGGTTCTTAAGAAGATTTTTAAATATCATCCTATTTTTGTCTTTCCTTGACTATCTCCCATTTTAAGGATCCTGGCTCTGTCCTTTATCTTAAAAATTGAAACTCCCCATTACCAATGGATGCCTTGAAGCATCTTTGAATGAAACTGGCCCAGTGGTTCTTGAAAAAAAATTGAAAATGTCAAAAGTTTACAAGGACAGATGAACAGACGGATAGACAGGTGATCAGAGAAGCTCATTTGAGCTTTCAGCCAAGGTAAGCTAAAAAAAGAGCTATTGATCTAAATTATTCTCAGACAAAACAACAAATTTGTTTACAGGGCATAAAACACAGACCCCAAAAGTGTGTTCTCAGGATGAGTAATCTTGCCCTGATGGCTGGTCAGAGCTGCAGTAGGCTCATTTTATTGAGCAGATGGGTGGAACACTCCATAGGCATAACGTTATATAAAGAAAAAGAACTAACAATGGGTATGAAATATGTCAGCCAAATTACGGCCCTGGGATAGGTTAATATCGCCAACAAGCGATAATTTTTAATTGACAACTATTTTCCAATGTCAGTCAAATATCTAAATATGAAGAAGATGTTGCAATTTCTATGGCGAGATGAAATAAAAGTTACAGTTTAAGTAAAGTTATATAACAAGAGGCCCATGGGCCTTATAAGTCACCTGAGTATCATGCAACAACTTTCCAACAATTGAATTTTATTCATGTTTTAAACTAGAGGCCATGAAATTCACAATTTTGAAAGAGGTACCATTGCTTATAATAATTATACACTTAGCATACTTATTTTGGTTACTTAAAACCCAGAGGTAGACCAGAGTAACAAAGAGAAAATGCATTTCCACTTTTAGTGAAATTCAATTCTTCTGTTAGAAAGGGTCCACAGTTGAGCTCCCCATTCCACAGGAACCACTGACCCTGGGGCCACATCTTACAAAATTTTGGAATTTTTATTTCATCATGCTGTTGATTAATACCAAAGTGCAGACTTCAAAGCATTATATTATTTCAGATTATGTTAACCCCCCCCCAAGTACCTCTGACCCAGGGGACAGGAAATTAACCATTTTTGGAAGAAGCAGGTTTTTTTTTACATAAATATATACTAAGATCATTGGCATTATACCCAATAACAACGGAAAAGATTTTCAAAGAATTCAAGCATTTTCACTATATAAACATTAGAGCCCCCCCCCCAACACAAGAATCTCTATACTCTATTCACTATATATTTAATAAAGCCCCGCCCTAACACCAGAACCCCCAACCAAGGGGCCATGAAATTCACAATTTTGGAAGAGGTAGCCTTATTCAACATAACTATGTACTTGGTTACTCAGGAGCAAAGAAGATTTTCAAAGAAATAATTCATTTTTACTATATAATCTATATAACCCCGCCCTAGCACTAGAACCCCTGACCCTAAGGCCATAAAATTCACAATTTTGGAAGAGACAGCCTTATTCAACATAGCCATGCACTTGGTTAGTTTATATCATGCCCATGAACAGAGAAGAAGAATTTCAAAATTTTTTTGCATTTTCACTATATAATCTATATAGCCCCACCCTACCGCTAGAACCCCTGACCCTGGGGCCATTAAATTCAAAATTTGAGGAGAGGCAGTCTTATTTAACATAACTATGCACTTGGTTAGTTTATTTTAAATGCCCACAAACAGAAAAGAAAAAAATTAAAAGAATTTATGCAATTTCACTATATAATCTATATAGCCCCGTCCTAGCACTAGAACCCCTGATCCTGGGGCCATAAAATTCAAAATTTTGGAAAAGGCGGTCATTTTCAACTTACCTATGCACTTGGTTAGTTTATTTAATGCCCACAAACAGAAAAGAAGAATTTCAAAGAAATAATGCATTTTCACTATATAACCTGTTTAGCCCCGCCCTAGCACTAGAACCCCTGACCCTGGGGCCATGAATTTCACAATTTTGGTAGAGGACTCAATGCTGATTACAATCTTACCAACAGTTTAACTGCTTGATGTCCAGGAATAAAGAAGATTTTTAAAGATTGCACTAATTTTAGTGGTTTTTGCCCCACCCCCAAGGCCCCAGGGGGGAAGTGACCATGAAATTCACAATTTTTGTTCCCCTTTACCCAAAGATGCTATATGCCAAATTTGGTTGAAATTGGTTCAGTGGTTTCAGAGAAGAAGCTAAAAATGTTCAAATGTTAACGCACGACGCACGACGAACGACGCACGACGAACGACGACGGACGAAAACAGATAGCACTAGGTCACCTGAGTTTACTCGGGTGACCTAAAAAGTAAAAAAAATCGTGTGCTTCTTTCAAGATATCTGTATCAAAAGTAGAGAAAAGAATTCACGAACACAGCTGTAGTGTAAAATAAGAAGAGACTGCAAAATATAAGTACTTTGCATCTTGTAGACACAAATAAAAGTTAACATGCTTTGGAAAATTATGGACACTTCTTTCAAATTATTTTCTAAGAATTATCTGTCAAGTCGAAATAAGTTGTGAAGAGATTCGTTTTTAATTCACCAATTATAAACAATTAATTATATCCATTAACAGAAAATGTATGAAATAAAATAAAAGATTTACCCCTAGAGCAAATTATAATATGCAATGCGGTTCGTCCATCATTGTGTACGGTGTTAACATCTGCTCCTCTTTCTAGCAGCCTTTTTACAACCAAGTCTTTATTTTGTTCACAAAAGAAGAGAAGAGGTGTTGCTCCCAAGCGGTTTTTTATATTTACGTTAAGCTCCTGGGGTGAACTTAACATCTGTAATGTCACAGTTGCGATGAGAGATCTGTTTCTTAAAAACGTAACACCATTTTGTCTCTCCCAAAATTTGGAAAAGAGACTGTTGCATATAAATAATGTTCCTTTCTCCTGAAGCAGCACGTTAAGAAAGGAAAGATCATCTGTGGAATAATTTGACCTAGTTATGTACCGTACAGGTAATTTCGATTGAAAATTGAAAACAAAACACATTTACATTTATTATCATTTCAACAATTTTGAATGGCTTCAACAGATTATATACATTGTATATGATATATTACCCGACATGACACATTTCTGTAAAACATTTTCTTCTTTAGAAAACGGATCAGCTCCTGCTGCAAGTAATTTTCGGAAGTCCTCTGCATTTGTTCGTAGAGAAAGACATAATGGGGTGTTGCCATCTCCATCTTTTGCATTTGGATTCGCATTATATGATAAAAGAACATCCAGTACAGTCTCTCGAGTTCCGTTCATTGTTGTATCTGTGCAAAAAGATGCATTTAATTCCTAAAGCTTACGTTTATTTTAAATTTAACGTTATTTTAACAGAATACGTTGGTGCATTAGAAAGACCGACCCTTCAACTTAATTTATAAAAAAGTATATATAAATATTCTTAGAACCAATAATATCCTAATTTTATTTCTCATTTTAAGTTCTCTGTTGTCATTTACTTTTATTCTTTAAATGTACGCTTTCCCAGACAGGAAAAAAGAGCACTAATCAAATTGTCTCTAAATAATGATAATAAATTTACCTCTCTTTAAATATCGATGTAAAGGCATGTCTTTGTTTTCTCCTATATGATTTACATCAGAACCATTTTTAATGAGCATTTCCACAATATTTTTTTCACCAATAGCCACAGCTATGTGTAATACCGAATCGGCACCCATTTTACGTTGACTACAATTTGCGCCAGCATCGATTAAGAGGGATAAGAGTTTTTGTAAGTGTAATTTAGCATTTTCTTCAGAATAATATGAGTGCCATAACGATGCTCGTCTAACCTTGTTTACAAAACCTTCATCCAATAAAACAAGGTAGTCCTCAAGAACAATTTCTAAAGGGCATTTTCCAGTGTTGCTTGCAATATTTGTGTCTGCTCCAGCTTCAACCAAAGACTTCAAAATTTCCATCTGGTCGTCTGACAAAAAAATATCCTTGATTTTTAATGGTGTGTTTATATGATGTTAAGTAACTAATAATCAAAGACCTGAGAGTAATTAAATGTTGTACAAAATAGGTATAGTAATATTTTATTAAATCATATATCTCCAAATAATATTCCAATTTCATGAATGAATTTCAATATCTTACATGTACGTTTGTTTAAGTTTCCCCATGTGGTCGTTTTTAATACAGATAAATACTTTCATTTCATTAAATTCTTCAACATGGTTCTTCAAATCTTATCCGAAAAGTTAAAGTACGCAACAAGTCGCATATTTATATATATTATGTTTGTAAAAAAGTCGAAACATGTATTGCAAAATAGGAAAAGTATTTACCCCTTTTTCCTGTTTGTAAACTTAGTAAATATTCTACCAGTGGCGTGTTCTCCTTTGACCCTTTTCTATTAACATTTGTCCCAAATTTCAAAAGTAATTTCACGATATCTATATTTAGTCTTGCGGCCAAACATAATGGATTTTCTGTCCCAATGTTGGGGTTACCATTATGCTCTAAAAGATCAGAAAGAATTCCCAGGGTATCTTGTCTAAAAGGACTCGACAGCAGACTGCAAACTAGTGAGGTTTTATTCTCTGTCTGGATATTGGTATCGGCACCAGCCTCTAAAAGACAGTTCACCATCTCTTCTCGCTGCTTTGTTTTCTTTGCTATAAAGATAAATACAAAAGCACATCACATATTGATGCTAATCTGCGTTTAGCATTGAGGTTAGTAATGACACTGGACATAGCTATATATATTGAAATGCTGTTATTTAAGTTATTGAATTATAAATGTAAAAAACATTCTATTAAAAATATAATCACAATATTTCTTATGACAATATATTTGTAAATGATTTAATATATTAACAGCAAAAAGGAAAATGCATTGACAAAATTGATCGTCGATTCCGTAACCTACTCATAAATTGCTTCCAATTGACTTGTCTTTTGTCGACAAGCTCATCAGCAGTCAAAATCATTTGACTTGTTTACATATTTAAATAAATGGGCACATAAAAGCACAATCAATTAGGTATTTCTTTTGTTACGTACCTTTTTCTTCGGTTATTGCAAAAAACCTGCGCCTTTCTGGAAGAAAAATTTTATAAATGATAAAGCAGTTCAAATCTAAAGAACAAGGTTCGGCGATATCTTCTTCCATTACCCAAGAAAGATTATCAATCAAGTTCATTAACAAGGGGAAAACGGAGGTAGAATATGGCAAATTATTTCATATATATGGAGCTAGATCTCAACAAGACACAAAGGAAGAAATTTCCCTTAGACAATATAAAATACGGAAGCGTATAAGTGCAACTTGGACACATTTTATTTTTAATTTCTATACTTTAATCTGCAAAATTTACACTTCAATGTATACAGTTTACACAAACTTTTACAGAAACTGTTGAAGTTTTTACTCTTATTGTGGCAATGCAAAAGACAGACCCCGCGACCAGGCTATTCATCCTACCGCCACATAGTCGCCATCCTAAACTACTTTCAAATTTGTAAACTTTGATATTTGTTACATTCACCCAGAGTCGATTGCGCAGGGCGTGGACCTTTAGTTGGACAAACTTGAATTCCCTTTACCCAGTATTACTCTGTTTGGTTGAATTGACCAGATAGTTGTGGAGAACAAGATGAAATTGTGAAAAGTTTACAACAACGACAACGGTAACGACTTCAGATAACGGTCAAATTTCGATCAGAAAAGCTCATTTAAAATACGAGGCCCCGAGTCAGGGTTGGCGTTGGCACAATATAAAGATCCCCCACTGCTCAATGGCCCTGAGTGCCGCAAAAAGCCTTCTCCGGTATAAGGTGACGACTTCATATAATAGACGTAAAAATATAAATCAATCTTAAGTGGCCGTAAAACAATAAATAAATTCTATAAACGATCTTGTTGCGAGCAACGAGTAGGTCTTCCGTCCGAATTTTCGAATAGACGAGATATTTGTACTACGATCTTTGTTAAGACATGATGATATCAAGACTTCCCTAATTAAGGTCTTCCGTTTCCAACGGAAGACCTTATTGTTTTCGTTCGGTTTCTTTTTCCCTATTATTATTATTAAGGTCTTCCGTTTCCAACGGAAGACCTTATTGTTCTCGTTCAGTTTCTTTTTCCCTATTATTTTTTTTTTCTTACCGATTTTTGTGCACGCGAGTTCTCGGAAACGGCTGAGTCGATTTTCACGAAACTTTCAGATCTGATAGATATTGATCTAAACTTTATTGGAAGTTTTTTATATTGATGACGTCAATTCCGGTCGTGAGATATGGAGGATTTTCTGATTTTAAGAGGGTCGGCTTGTCCTGGTAACTCCTCCTAAACCACTTATGATATTGAGTTAAGATTTTCAGTGAGAGTAAAGGAAGGTTTGCTGAGTTGCATAAGGGTGTCCAAAGTTTTCTAGCGCAAAAAGGATCGGAGCTCGATAGGGCCAAAAAATGTCTCACAAACATCTCACAAAATTTGACACTTTACGTTTCATATCGTCTTACCTGTTCATAATTTGTTAAAACATATTGAAGAGAAGTTGTGCAGAATGTTAAAAGCTATTAAATAATACCAAGAAAAAGGGGCTGACCCCTCAAATTAGGGTCTCAGAAGGGCCAAAAGTCCTTCATCGATATCTCTTTAATGAACAATATTTTGTTATAAATAACTGAAGCAAAAATCTTCATCTTAACAATTTGCAACAACATATTGTTAAATTATGATCATATGTTACGTAATTAGGGGCCATCAGGGCCAAATTCAAAATCTTTTGATTCTTTATACCTTCAAATTTTTTGACAAGCAGTATTGAATAAAAGATGTTCAGAATTGTATTCTAAACAATATACAACAATTCAATTTTCGAAAAACGGCCCATAAAGAACTTGAAGGGCTGGCCCCTATATATTAATTTTCTATTCTGCATAGTCCGAGAACGAAAAGAAATTTTTGAATAGTTGTTGAACAAAAAAGGTCTTTCAATTATTGAAATTTATTAGTTGATATGAAGGTAAATGATCTGACCCCTTAAATTAAGGGCCCAGAAGGGCCAAGAAACTTTCATTTATAGCTTTTTAAAATGTTACATTAATCAAAAAATTAAATCAAATGAGAGAAGTCTTGATATCCTAATGTTTTGACAAAAATCACAGTCAAAATCATATCTCAACTTATCGAAAAATCAGACGGAAGACCTACTCGTTGCTCGCAACGAGATCTCATCTAGTTAAGGTCTTCCGTCTTCAGCGGAAGACCTTATTGTTTTTCTTAGGTTTCTTTTCCACTATTTTTATTAGGGCTTTTCGCTTTCTGCGAAAAGACCTATTGTTTTCGTCTTGTTTTATTATTAGGGCTTTTCGACTTTTGTCGAAAAGACCTATTGTTTTCGTCTTTTTTATTATTATTCTTATTATACTTAGCACTTTTTTTGCTCAGCGTTTAAGGATTGTCTTTAAAAATACCTATTTTATTTTATAACCACTAAATAGCAAATGCAAATATCTCCCGTCTAAAACAAGATAAACTTCCGGTAAGGTCACTTCCGGTTTATACTAAAGAAAAACTAAATTTTCTACAATACCCTATATCATTTTCATTTTTTAAGTATACTTTCTCAAATTTAAAATATAAATTTTAAAGAACCAATACTATAAAAAAGTGCGCGTACAGGATTTTCGACCACAGATACTTTTTGAGATAATGAGACTTCAAACATTCAAGAAGGGGGGATGGAATTTTAAAAAGTCACAAAAACATTACTAAAATTATTTTTAGCATAGAAACATTTTGGAACTAATTAGTAGAACAAATGCTATGACTTTCATATCAATCAGAGCAGAACTTCCGGTTTTATGGATCTTTGAAATTTGTCTACGGGAGTTTCTATGTTAAATTGAAATCAGGCATCACACGTTTTCTCTTAAAATGGTCAAGATATTTCTATGAAATTTTGAGGGTGAAATGACTCTGATATTGTCCCAACCTGATTAAATTATGAAAATAAAATACAAAAAATTAAGGGATTTCTAGGGGCCAACATTAAAAACAGACTTTTTTCCGTAACTTTTTTATTTCTCAATGGATTTTCAAATAGTTTTCAGATTTGAGTTCAGCATAAAGAGGACAGTCTGAAAATTATGGTCCGTGGGGTCACTTTTTGACCCCTTATAGGAGTTTAAGAGACCTGAAATATTGCATTTCTAAGTCTTGTAAAAAATATTTAAACAAGAGTTATCTCCCTTTGCCCACCTGTTTGGAACGTTATATGCTGTGTATGTTTCAATTTTGGTATGCATCTGAAGAGTACTTCCGGTTTTGTAAGTTCCTTTAAATTGTCTATGGAGATTTCTATGTTAAATTTGAAATCACGTAAGTTCCATTATCTCAAAAGGTAGGCAAGCATTTCTAGTGATATTTCATATGAATATTGACTCTTGCATTGCCTCCAGGTGGAAATGTCATGAAATTAAAAATCCCCAAAATAGAAGGGATTTTAGGGGTCAGTGCAGAAAATGGCTATTTCTCTGTAACTTTTTTAATTCTCAACCAATCTTCAAACTAATTTTCGTATTACAACAAGCATATAGAGTACAGTTTAAAAATAATGGGCCGTGGGGTCACTTTTTGACCCCTTATAGGAGTTTTAGAGACCTGAAATATTGTATTTTTAAGTCTTGTAGAAAATATTTAAACAAGAGTTATCTCCCTTTGCCCACCTGTTTGAAACTTTATATGCTGTCTCTGTTTCAATTTTGGTATGCATCTGAAGAGTACTTCCGGTTTTATGAGTTCCTTAAAATTGTCTATGGAGATTTCTATGTTAAATTTGAAATCACGTTTGTTCCATTATCTCAAAAGGTAGGCAAGCAATTCTCATGATATTTCATATGAATATTGACTCTAGAATTGTCTCGAGGTGGAAAGGTCATGAAAATAAAAATCCCTAAAAATAGAAAGGATTTTAGGGGTCAGTGAAGAAAATGGCCTTTTCTCTGGAACTTTTTTAATTCTCAACCAATCTTCAAACTAATTTTTGTATTACATCAAGTATAAAGAGAACACTGTAAAAATTATGGTCCTAGGGGTCACTTTTTGACCCCTTATAGGAGTTTTAGAGACATTAAGTATTGCATTTTAATTCTTGTAGAAATATTTGAACAAGAGTTATCTTCCTTTGCCCACCTGTTTGGAACGTTATATGCTGTCTATGTTTCAATTTTGGTATGCATCTGAAGAGTACTTCCGGTTTTATGAGTTCCTTAAAATTGTCTATGGAGATTTCTATGTTAAATTTGAAATCACATTTGTTCCATTATCTCGAAACGTAAGCAAGCAATTCCCGTGAAATTTCATATGAATATTGACTCTATCATTGTCTCCAGGTGGAAAGGTCATGAAAATAAAACTCCCTAAAAATAGAAGGGATTTTAGGGGTCAGTGCAGATAACGGCCTTTTCTCTGTAACTTTTTTGTTTCGCATCCAATCTTCAAACTAATTTTCGTATTACATCAAGCATAAAGTGTACAGTTTAAAAATTATGGGTCGTGGGTCACTTTTTGATCCCTTATAGGAGTTTTAGTGGATTGAAAAACAGTACATTTCCGTATGTGTTAAATAACCACGAAAGAGTTATGTCTCTTTGAGTAGACACTGATGTATTGTACACAGAGAATTGTTATGTTTCCAATTAAATATTGGTCTCAAAAAAACTTTTGCAATATTGTATTATATGATCTTTTTATTGTAAAATATTGATTTTGCTTTTAAGATTCTTTATTTTAAGGGATCGAAAAGCCCTCCGTTTTTGTTGAACGACAAAAAGATCTAGTTAGGGCTTTTCGCTTTCAGGCGAAAAGCCCTATTGTTTTCGTCTTGTTTTATTATTATTATTATACTTAACACTTTTACGTCAAGGATTTAAAGAAAACAACTAGACATATGTAATTTAGAACAACACCATTTAACAGAACATCTAAAAGTGTCCCGTAAGTAAGGTTTTGTACTTCCGGAAACGTCACTTCCGGTATTTATAAGACAAATACTACATTTTCTCTAAAGCCTTAAACATTCCTTATTTTA